CCCCCCCCCCCCCCCCCCCTGTGGTGTGGTTTGGGTCGCTTGGGGTCTTTGACAATATTATCATGGTGATTCCCGTGAATCTTGCTGTGTTTCTATCTTGGGCGGATCAGCACCCTGTACTTCATCTGGCGTGGATTCGGGTCCAGTGATGCCTGCGCGGGGCACCTTGGCTGTGGGGTGGTCCGGGGTTTGGGTGCAACAAACCGGAGGTGTGGTGGGGCGGGGGATGCGGTCGGAAATTTGGGAGCCGGGGGCGGTCGGCAAATCGCGAGCCAGGATTAAATGTGTACGGAGGGAGAGAGGGAGAAGACCCTACCCGAAGCCATGAAACAGTCATTGAACGGGAATCAGATTGTGCAGCCTAGAAGCTGTTTCGTTTGCGAAGAAGCCCTTGCCGCAAAGCTCACAGCCTTCCGCCCCAAGAATGTTGTTGAAGCTGCCGGCTGTGCAGGGATGGCAACTGGCACGGCCCGTCTGGTTGGCAAAAGTGCCCACATCACATGGATCACATTCTGACATGCCCACCGTTGCATATCTGCCCACGCCGCAGTCGACACAGCCAAGCTGCACTGAGAAGACACTGCCAGCAGGGCACTGGTTTATCCGGTCCGTGGGCACGAAAGCATCACCAAGGCTACAAACACCAGTGCTGCAGGGAACCACCTTGCTGTTATCAAAGGGGCTCCACTGCAAATCACGTAACCACCACACTCCGTCTCCAGTTCTGTATGCAAGTTCGCTGAACTCGTTTCCGGTTCCTCCCGTAATCTGCCGAATAAGCTGAACACCATCTCGGTCACCATATGAAGGCGGGACTGTAGTGGGCTCGATGGTGTTGAACTGTCGCACCCGACCCGTCAAGCCGACGTAATCCTGCTGCAGAGACAACTCGTAGAGTGCCGAACGTGAGGATGCAGTACCCAACTCAGCTGCAGAATGGTTCTGCTGGATCAAGTAGGTGTGCAGCAAGGATACCAAATGCCAAAGGCCATCGTAGAAATAGCCCGTCCACACATAATCACACGCACCCTGTCCGTTGGCAAACTGCTGGCATGCGGTGTTGTAGTAGTTCGAAATCTCGGAGAGTCTCGTCCCCGAGAGCCCGTGAAGATCGCTGGTGCTTTGGATGGGCGACCGACCACTGATCCTGGGAGACTCTTAACCCTACCTTAACGCCCCAACAACCTACCTTCTTAATTCTCTAAAGGTGTAGACAAAGAGATCGTAATAAGGATCCCGAAGAAGGAAGGTTCTATAGGGTCAGAGCCATCCCCAAGCCGTCTCTAACCCGAAACCTTCAGTCCTCCCAACGAGCATAGAGCCAGATAAAACACCCCTTAACGACCCTCCCTTTCATAACCACATGGGTATAGTTCTCTGAATTAGGGCGCCTTTGTAAGTCCCCAACATAGCACGGCACGCTGTTGCAAAGGATTCGGAAAGGGACCCTACTTTAGAGAACTACTCATATCGAGTCAATAAATAAGAAGCCTCGGTCCAGTCTGGTTCAAACTTGTCAATCCGTGACGACCCTTTAGAGCACCCATTATGCGGCATTTTACAACCCACTTAAACACCTTCATGCAGCCATGTATCACCCCTTGTCAACGAACCAAAAGTCTCTTGGGGCACCTTTAGAAAAGCCTGTTACAATGCACCACATAACTACCTTACAAGAACCTTAGCACAATACAACTAAAGTCCTGTAGAACCGCATAACCCATGAAACTCCCTTTCAACTGGCTAAGATCGTTCAACACGCCTCTAAAGGCCTTGATGCATCCAAGAAACTTACACCCTAAACCCTAAACCAAAAACCCTAACCCAAAAACCCTAAACCAAAAAGCCTAAACCGAGGATCATGAGACCCCCGGCAACTCTGGCCAGTTGGGTCGCAGTGCATGGGCATTCCTGTGCTGCAGCTTTTCGGTTTAGGGTTTAGGGTTGCTGAGCCTATAGGGTTTAATTTTTTCGGGCCTTTAGGGGCCAGGGTTTGGGGATTTTTTGTCTCCCGCTTGGCTAGGACGAAAATGGAATCCTACAGGGATTTTAGGTTTGGAGCGTCCGAGTGTAGGGTTTAGGCTGATCGCCATCACCACCCGCAGCAGCAGGGATGACGACGGCCGTCGTCTAGAAGATGATCGGCTGGATCTTTTCTCAGGCCAGAAGGAACAGGTAAAGATCAACCCTAACCCCTAAGCTTTAAAAGAGAGAAACAGGGGGAATGACCATTATCCCACCAGGGCCGAGGAAGCTGCTGTACGGGAGGAGCATTGCAGCAAAACAGGCGCAGGAGAAGCTTAGGGCTTTGGGCTTTGGTTTAGGGTTTGGGTTTCGGTATAGGGTTTAGGGTCTAGGGTTTAGGGTTTTGGGTTTAGGTATAGGGTAGGATCACCAACAACTTCAACACTGACTTCTTTAGCTTTGGCCACGGCAGCTTCAAGACCCGTCTACACGGTTGTTTCAACTTCCGTGTCTTCACCGCTGACACCACAGAGTCAGCACTGTCGTTTAGGGTTTAGGGTTTAGGAAGCACCTTCCACTGCCTACCACCATCAACGCCATCACCGTCATTCCTACCAACATCAACCAAGCAAAGGCTCATGCACGACCAGCATGAACAACACCAAACAAGCTCGTGCGAAACCGTTTCGGAGCACTTGGAGGGCCGGGGTATTCCATAGAGTTGTAAGATGCTTTGAGTATCTTCTCCCCAGCAACCCCAAATAGGATCCCTGCTAGGGGTACTTATATATAACTCTACTTGTTGCCTTCTTACTGAGTCCCCCGACACGCCAAGTACCGCGCTACATCCCGACATCCAGTCAAGTCACGGTGGTTTCAGCCACGACTGCAGTGACTCCATTGACCCAGTTGCCGAAAGCTGCAACGAACCATACATAGTCCTCCACGCACTGCTGCCCACACGGGACATATACAGCAGCGTAGCCACTCGACTGAGACAACTCAACGAAATCCAAACTCCACCGAAAAACTGAATCAGGCTCACAATCACGAACCCAGAGCTCGCTCGAATTGCGCATTGGTCCGACACGGCGCCCAGGGTATTCTTTCAGGATTATTTAAGCTGCATGGTTCGGTTTGCAACTCAGGATGGTGCTAGATGACTATGCTGACGAACATGGTTTTGAAGCCTGTGTCTCCATGGTTGGGGCGACTGAGGTTCTGTAAGCTCGGCTTGTCAGCATGACACCGCCAATTCTTGAGGCATGACTTTGTAATACGTAGATACAGACGGAGTTCTAACTGTCAGAGCTTTTGGGGAAATTTGGCTTCGGGGTTGTGCTCCCGAGACATGGAGTGTGCGTGACGAAGCTTGCAAGGCCGACACACTTTGACTACACAGAATCGGGTTCATATCTTCTTACGGAACCCGCCAAATTAAAGCTCTAGACTCCGAAATGCGCTGGTCCGGCGGAAGCATGTCGCGCAAGAAGAACTGGCACAGGACCCACATGCCCATGTACTCCGGGAGAACCATGAGGTTGATTCGCGAATCACGAGCAAGGACGTCATCTGCTACACTGATGGCGTCGGCAGGACTGCCGACGGTTCTGTCCAGCAAGACCGTCCAACCATAGGTGCCCGCATCCAAGTCCCGCTGAATCAGCTCCAGGAAGAAGTCCTTGGCGCCTTGAGTGTAGAAAGGTCCGTCCATCACGCCAACACGGTGGAATGAAAACATCTTCATCACCTGCGATGGCCCATCCACTCTTGCAAGCAACCGTAACCCTAAACCCTGTTTAGAACCGTCATCGCCTCGTAGACAGCAGTGACCTTGAACCGGTCCGAGGGAGTCATCCGTGTCAAGTACGGGTACCGAGAGCGATCGCTGAGGCTGGGAGAGTCGCATCCTGGAGATACCATAAGCACCTGAGCCCAAAGGGTCTAGAGTCTAAATACCAGCCTTTTTCAGGAGAAAATCACTACAACATCGGTACTTGCACTCGTGGTGGAGGTATGTGTTTATGACGGGCTTGGTCGTGGTTCGCACAGCGGATGTGCAAAAGACTGCGGGGGCCAAGCTAGTAGTCTTTACAGCTGCCCGGCAATGAAGCAACAAACCGCCTGTAATTTACCCGAAAAGCAAGCCCGAACATTATGAACCCTTATTCTTGGCCACTGCACTCAAATGAAGCCTTTTTTGAACCCAGACTCTGCCAATCCCAAACCTTAAACCCTAAACCCTAAACCCAATCCCAAACCAAACCCGGAAAGCCGAGCCTTGAAGAGGCGCGCGGCATCCGCCACCGCGGCACAGACCTGACTGCAGGAGTCGCCAAGGATCGCGTGCTTCCTGGCAGAAGGATCTCGGGATCGCAGGTTCCCTCAAAAAGACAGAGAGACGGAGGGAGAGAGAGAAAGAGAGCCACACACACACACACACACATACAGAGACAGATATACATATGTATGTATGTATGTACGTATGTATGTATGTATGTATGTATGTACGTACGTACGTATGTATGTATTTGTGTATGTATGTATATATATATATATCTTTATATACATATATATATATATGTATATACACACACATATATATATATATGTGTGTGTTGTTTACTTTTTATTTTGTTTTTTGCGGGGGACTTAATATTTAGCAGTTGCCGGAAGTTGCAGAAATCCGGACACATGCAAGATTGAGGTATGTCATTGCTGTTCTGACCAAGGTCGGAAGTACTGCCAATGTAGGGGCCTTAATAATTGGAATAGGGCTTTGCGGTATATTACACTATGTTTAGAATAAGGAACCACCCAAAATAGTATAGGTAAGTACTTCGGCCCCTATATTATGACAGTTCTTACTAAGAAGAGTCTGAACGCGTTCACTGGCCAACGCCGCAAATATTGCTTCTGTCAAAATCCAGTCGTCTTCGAGCCGCAGTGCCAAACTACGGAACAAGCTCGAAGAGGTGACACAAACAAACAACAGCCAGAACTCCCAAACACCCTTATATCAGCTCCGAACACCTTCATATATGTATATATCTATATCTATATCTATATCTATATCTATATCTATATCTATATCTATATCTATATCTATATCTATGTATGTATGTATGTATGTATGTATGTATGTATGTATGCATGTATGTATGATATACATACACAGATAAATAAATATATATATATATAAATTCAAAAGCTCAGGCTCTACAACACCATCCTCAAGCCTGAACCCTGAGGAAAGTTGGGGCGACCGTTATTCCGGGACTTCCAGCTACGGCCTCTGCGAAGTTGACAATTGCCTGGCTGAAAGAATCGAGCTTTCTAGCAAAGTGAGAGCATCTGCGTCACTATGCTCGTCGATAGGGCGAGCGATGACCATGTCACAAACCATGGCAGAAAAAAACAAGTGTCCATAGCGGCGGAAAAGGGAGCAGCAGCAGCAGTAGTGGTAAGACTGACAGTCGTAGCCGTCGCGTCGTCATTGTGAGTGAGATTCATGTAATTGTGCTTGTCGTGTTTCTTGTTGTTGCTGTCGCCGTTGTCGAAGCTGAAATGGAAGTCGCAGACGAAGTCTTAGTCGTAGTAGCAGCAGGGGCCGTAGGCGTAGGAGTAGGAGGAGGCGCAAGGGTAGCAGGACAAGGCAGAGCAGCTTGAAGCAACTCGGCACATACATATTCAGACATGCAGTAGAAGCTAAGAATTCTCATCTTAAGCTTGCATGTCTGACCGTGTAAGTTAATTGAGATTGACGCTTTCGAGGGGTTTCGTGTGGCCTACTTTAGGCCTTGCGGTCACGCGAAAATGGAAAGCACCTGACCTACACTCTTCAACCTTACACTCACTTGTCCCGTATGCTAGGGAACTACTGTAGCCTATGCGACTATATAGGGATTTACTACCCCGAAAGGTTAAAGGTGGCCTACTCGACTGCAAAATTAAAGCAGCTGAGCTTCGGAGGGCCATTCATCAAGGCTTCGATGGTGGCCTCTGTGCCGATTGCCTGAATCAGTAGCTGGGGATTTGGGGTTTGGGGTTTGGGACTGCTCGGATGCTCCTGGCGTCTATACCATTTAGGGTTTAGGGTCGGTTTAGGGTCCAGGGTTTTTTCCCCCTCTGTCGCATAGCTAAGGATCAAAGTCCAGGGTTTAGGGTTTAGGATTTAGGGTCCAGGGTACATGCAGAACTTGATGAAATGCAGAGCATCGAGATTCAACTTAGCCTCAGGCTGTAAGACCTAATTGCTGAACGTAGGTCTTGGGAGTGCGCGTGGCTACACAGACACATGCATGCATGCTTGGAGCATGTATGGGCACATGCCTGCATGACTGAAGCTACTGATGCATGACAAACTAATACTAAGGGGCTACATGTAACCCGGATCTGGACCAACTTCCTCGCGATCAGTTTCGGATATAGCGTGGACTCAAGCATGGCTCAAGTTCAAGAGTTGATAAAGCTCTCTGCAGTTGGGGTGTTTGCGAGGGTACAAGATGGAGTCCATTGCAGAAGCCTAGCGTGCAACCCTGAAACCAAGATAGCTAAGCTGGGGAGGTCCTACTAATCTGAACCAGGGTTTGGAGCATAGTATATTACGAGGCCTATGCTGCCCATCCCTTACGCTTGTCACAACTCGGACAAGCAAGGCTAGGCTCCACCGGTGCCTCCCTTCAGGTTCCAGGACAACTCAAAACCCTAAACCCTAATACCCTAAACCCTAAACCCCAAACCCTAAACCCTAAAACCCTAAATACCCCAAATAGACTGCCGGGCTGACAGCAAGCCGGTCTGACCTCGTCACAGCCCGAATCCGTGAGGTGCAAGTTCACGCGATAGCCGGGCAGCCGGCCGCTGTCCTGCTCAACATGGTTTAGGGATTAGGGTTAGGGTTTACGGTTTAGGGTTTAGGGTTGAGGGTTTAGGGTGCGCCCAACATACGGGTAGTTCTCTAAGGTAGGGTCCCTTTTTGGGTCCTTTTGTGCCGTACTATAGTGGGGATCTGAAAAGGGACCCTAATTTAGAGAACTACCCATACACCCTGCGACCCTTTTTGAACCCAGACTCTGCCGATCATGACCCTAAAACCCTAAATCCCTAAACCCCTGTGGATCAGCAACTTTTCTGGCCTTGACACCTTGCTGCTGCACTTAAGGCTCAGGGTAGAAAAGCATCTGTCAGAGCACTTCAGGTTTCTAGTGCTCTAGTGTCTTTGCATTTCGGGTTAAGAGGTCCACTAACTTAGTTTAGGGTGCCTATCTATGATCCTCTTAAGTATTTATCTAGGGCCGTGTTTTCGGGGAATGGAGCTGCAGGCTTACATAGAGAGCCCGACACCTGCCCAGAGCCAAGCAACGCACCGCAGGATAGTAGTAATTAAGGTGAGAACTACCACGGTAGGAACAATGATAAGAATAAAAGCACCAAGCCCTAAACCCTAGGCCCTTGAACGAAGAGTCCCTCATAAGCCCGTCGAAGCAAAATCTCATACCCCTGAAGCCCTTTAGGGTGTCCTGGGGGATTTGGGTCTCAAAATTAGGACTTGAATGAGGGAATGAGGGGTATGGATTTAAGAGCTTAAGGGCATGGTTTGTGCTTCTAAGGGCTTTCGGAGCTCCCCAGTCAAGGGCCAAAAGGGGCTGCTTCATGTTTATCGGCATCATTATTATTTGTGTCGCTTTGTTGTTCTTGTTGTTTTCAAACTCCCCCCCTCCAGCACAGCAATCCATCAAGCCGAAATGCCAGGGGCCGGAACCCCTTCCTCTACGCCTCAGGCGGTCTAGCGTTTGGGGCCAGGGCTTATGGGTAAGAGCATCGGAAAAACCGACCTCGATCTCTTGTGCTGCCAGTGCCAGCAACGGCTCAGCCATGGTCATCATATCACCAATAATCCCGGTGTACGGGCTGATGACCTAAGCAAACTTTCGGGGTATGTTAGGGGTACCTTCTCGATTCAGCTTACAGACGCTGGGGTCAAGATCGGTCAGGGTTTCATGTGTAGGACGAGAAGTAGCACAGAGAAGCCGAAATGCTTAAACTGTCTCTGGCCACCTGCAAGTTCACTAAGCTCCAAACTTACTCCCAAGTTTTAGGGAAGCTCTCTGGCACCTTTATGGACCCGCTGTACCGTAGCCTTCCGGAACCGTTCTAGTACCCTGATTGTGCTCTTATGGCAGCCTCATAGTACCCTAACTGTTCTCTTGTGGAACCCATTCGCTGGCAAAGTAACCGAACAACTTAGCCACCAATCTTGCAGTGTTTAGATTTGTTTAGGACGTGTGTTTAGGGTTAGGGAACGGTTAGGGTGCAGCACCAAGGTCTTCCACGATTGAGAGGTGAGGGAGAAGCATCGTACACGCCGTCAAACAGAGTACGGAAAACGACATCACCTAGCAGGGTTGTTAGGGCACACTTTTCTGGGCTTATAGCAACTTACAGCGCAGGCTTTCTGTGAGGGGCCTTGGCCGCGTCGCCGCTGCAGCTTAAAAACACACGCAATGTCGGGGACGAGGTAATTGGAACGGTGAAGAAGACGATGGGGCCTTGAAGAACATTCGAGTAGAGTTACACAGGGCCTGCGTGAAGGGGTAGAACTTCTTGCCGCATATTCATGACGTCCCAGCTGATGGGATGCGCAGTGTTTGTGCTTCAGATTGGAAGGTTTGCCCAAGTTCTCTCGGGCTTTCGGGTCGTAGGTGTGGTGCTTCTGGCGTGAAGTGAGGGTAGAAAACTGTAGGAACTAACATCAACATTGGATCCTTCATAACTGGATCCCTGACTATAATAAGACTTATCCTAAACAAGGTGTCACCCTGAACTCTGCTGAAACCTACGTGCATAGTAGAGGCCTTCTGTGGGACTGAGAAGCTCCTCATGTCGCAGATGGAGCGATGAGGACAGTGGTGGGGACAAAC